TGTGGGCGGCGGGGGCCGGGGGGCCAGCTCCCGGCGGGGCAGCGAGTGTTTCTCGCGCCGCCCTCGCGGGGGGGATGGGGGCGCCCCGCTGGCTGCCGGCGGGGGGGCGTTGTGATGGGTGCTGGAATGCTGCCAGAGGGCAGTTTCTGGAAAGGGGGCTTTGCGGTGGCTGTGGGGGACCAGCCTTCTCCTGGGGAAGAGACGTTCTGTGCTGAAGGAGGGAAGGACCCCCCCCCAGGGAAGGACTCCCCCTCCGGCCCGGTTCTGCTAAGGGAAGGGCAGGAGGCTTCGTAGCCTGACTTCACCTGACGCTGCTCTTGGAGGGACGTCTGGAGGCCTGCAAAGGCCACTGCTGCCCCCCACCTGGGTGAGCCCTGGGGGGCTCCAGCCCTCCCCGGGATGGTGGAGGAGGGGCGCCTCACTCTCCCTTTCCCCTGGAGCTGTTCCCTGCTGGGGGAGTTGCGACTGACCCCCTGCAGCCACCAGTTTCCCCGTTGGGATGTTCTGTGTCCAGAAGGCTATTGGTCACAGGGGCTAAAGCGAATGGGCACGAGGGGCAGAATTTCTTGAGACGCCCCCTTTCCCCCTCCCTCCTCAGTTTTTGGCTTTCGCACTGATGTCCCCCCAGCTGGGGGAAGGGACGCCTGCTGTGTGTTGACAGTGTTAATCCTCCTGCTTTTGCTCTTTCCCTCCTGGGAATTGGAATTCCGGAAGAGGTTTCAAAGCATCGTCCCCCCAAGATACGGATCTCTAGAGTATCGGGGCGTGTGTGTGCTGGTGTGTCGTGGCTGTGCGACCAAAGCAGAGGCAAATTCAGCCAGTCTGAATTACGGCACCTGCCGGCTGAAGAGGAGGCTCTGCCGGCTGAACGATGCTGGCTGAAGCGGGGCAGGACGGGTCTGTCTCCTTCCCTGCAGCCGGACCGCGTACGTGATGGGAACGGAGGCCAGCACGGCACAGGAAGGGACGGGTTCGCTCACAGGCTGCTCCATTCTTGCTCAAGGCCTCTTCTTGCTCGGGGCGGGCGGGGGGTGGCCAGGGGCAGCGGGGCTGAGCCCAGGGAGAGAACCGCCCGGGGTTCTGGGAGAGGCACTGCAGCCAAAAGCAGGCTGGGAGGCTGCTCCGCGGCCCCCCGCGGCAAGGTCGGTGGGCCTAGCCCTGGTGTGCCGTGGACGGTAGAGGCACTCTGGTGCCTTGGGTTGGGGTGACTGGCTTCCCCTTGTGCGGTTCTGGGTCTCTGCTGTCCTGCCTCCGGGTGTGCGCGTGTGGAAAAATTTGCATTGCCAGATAATGTATTTTCATCAAATTCCCCCTCCCCACAAAATAAAGCACTGAGTATTTTTTAAAAAATAAGTTCTCTCTGCGGTTTTAAAGGGGGCTGTTCTGGCACATGGCAAGGAGGGGTCCTTGCTGCACCCCAATCTTTCACTGCCCCGCCCTCCCTCTTGGTCTGCAGCTCCTCGGCTTCTGTTCCCTGGTGCTTTTTTTTTTTACAGCTGAGGAGGCATCCTGCCCTTGAAAATTGGGGGGGGGAGTTGTTTCTCCCCCCCATCCCTATTCAAGGAAATCGTTCACCCAGTTTCTCTGCCCACCTATTTGGGCAGTTTTGAAAGGCATCTACCAAACCTGAACCCTGAGAGGAAGCGCTCAGGGAAGGCCATGGGTGGGCTTAGGGTTCTTGGGGAGATGCAGGCCTTGACCCCAACAACTCCCCCGAGATACAGGCATGGATGCATGTGGGATTATATGGTCAGAGTAGCTCATGGGGGAGTGACTGGTTTCTGCTTTGGATGACTGGATCTTCCACAAACTGGACAGCCAAGTCATCAAGGACGAGCAGGGTGGTTGCTGAAGACTTCTGGTGAGGACCACGGGGAGTAGGTAGCTCCCCCATCCCTAAAAAGAAAGAACTCAAGGTTGCCGATGACCCAGAAACTGGAGGGTGGGTCATATTTTAGAGGAGAAGATATTAAAAGGTGTAGTAAGGCTTTGAGCAGGGGGCTGAAATGAACAGGATGGAATTGAACGGAGAGGAACATCAAGTTCTGCACCTGGGCTGAAAAAGGTAAGGCGCGAGTCTAGAAGGGGGGAGACCTGGCTTGGCAGGAAGACACCTGAAGGGATCTGGGGGTCCTTGTTTACCCCAAGTTAAACAGCCCTGTGGGGCGATCTTGGTTTTGTTAGCAGGGGCATGTGGTCCAGACCCTGGGAAGACATTGCTCCAGTCCGTTGGTCCAGCCCCGTTTGGAAGGCTGCGTCCAGCTCTGGGCACCACCTTTCAAAAAAGGGAGGCAGTGAGAAATCGGAGCAAGTTCAGAGGGGCCTGCAGACCAAGTCCCATGGGGAACAATGAAAGGAACCGGGTTATGTTCAGCCTGCAGGAGAAATGCTGAGGAGAGAGATGAGAGCCATCTTCAAATGTCAGTATTTCTCAACCCTGACTGCTTTAAGACATGTGGACTTCAACTCCCAGAATTCCCCAGATAGCCATGCTGGCTGGGGAATTCTGGGAGTTG